GGGGGGGGGGGACAGAAATCAGTGTCGATGGAAAATTGTACAAAGCAGAAACAGGACACAATGAAGCCCACACACACCTCTGTGCTCGTGTGTCTGCAGAGGTTCGACATGTCTCGCTCAGATCCACTTTCATTAGGGCCTGACATTCAGCCATGTGTGTACCTGAATGCCACGGCGTAATGAGAATGGATATGACAGTGACAGCGCCATCGCCATCGAGTCCCCCCCCCTTTAGTTTTTTTCTTCTCCTTCCTGACATGTACGCAACAATCTTGCTCCGTCTAAGACAACGGGGCGCAACAGAGCCGAGACAATAACCAAACTCTATTTACCAGACCTCATTCCCTCGTACGGACCCGAAGTAATTACTTTTAAATTGCAAAACTGAGGAACATTAACAAACGGTTGCGGCAATTTGTGTGCGCCTGGGGCTAGACAGCTTGTTTTTCAAATGGAAATGAAGGTATTTTGCCATTGTCCACTGCACTATCGTGTTCTGGTTTAAGGCTTTTTTCTCTTTCTTTCTGTTAGCTGGATAAAAGCGAAAGGACATCGGCAGCGTTCGCCGGAGCCCATTGTGGCGGCCGACTGCTCGGAGTGGGGGATAATTCTAGCTTAATGCTAACGCTGTCGGAGGAGGGCGTCACTCCTTCTACTCAGAAGAGACGGACGCGCCGCCGCTCGGCCACATGAATCAACACAGACACTTAACAACACAAACATGAAAATCCTCACTTTCACACGCAGACGAACGGAGGGAGGAGCATGCGGGTTTTTGTGTTTTTCCCGACACGTCAGGTTCACGGCACATCAATAGCGGCCGTGATTATCATGATCAGCTGTAATGAGGGGGCCACGGGGGTGAACGCCACTCATCTCTTTTCTTTAACACGGCCTGTTATTACCACTTCTTTGTCTCTCTCTCTCTCCGTGTGACTCACACTCGTATTACACCGAGTAATTCTCTCCCAAATCACGGCCCCGTCACGCCGCCCTGTCACTGGCCTGACAATGTCGAAAAAGGCGCCCTTTTTTTGGGTGGACACACACACACAAAGGAGCAGCGGCCGGGTCCCCATTACGGCGCCGCCGGGGTCGCCGTGCAGCTGATGAGGTCTGTAACGCCACCTGCACATTGTGGCCGTTGTGTCAACGGTGTGTCGCTCTTTTTTTGGTCACAGTTTTGAGCCAAAGTTTGTTCTAGTTGGGAGATTTGTGACACAAACAAATGTCATCAAAAGTCAGCGGTAGGGATACTAGTACTCTTATCGGTTCTCTTTGATTATATTGTGAGTAAAAAAGCGTTATTATTCTTGTATGTAAACAAACAGCAATACAAGAAGTTCCAAAATCATTAAAATGCATTCACAGCTAAACTAAATTAGCAATTAGCTTTCATTTATTAGCCTGTTGTTATGATCTATCTCCGTATGGCATCGTATGTCAGACAACTTCAAATAAGGCTCATTTATATCATCTTGTGAATTCTTACAGTGATTTTCTTTTCAATTATTGTGTCTATTAAATAACTGTTAAACTGCTCTAAACAATTAAAATCAAGACATTAATTTAAGCCTTTAGATTAATGTGACAGCATTGAGACTCGAGCCATGCTGGAGGTGCGATGAACATATGCTGTGTGGTGAGTTTTACGGCACATTAACAGAGTGAAGTGCACGTCTATTTTTAAAAGGAGTGAAAGAGACAGAGATTAGAGAGAGTTGAAGGAAGAGTACAGTACCTCCATAGTCTGAGACTGGTGCATGGCTTTGATTGCATTCTGTGCCATAGCTCTGGTGGAAAACGTGACAAACGCACATCCTGTAGGGAGAGGAGGAGAGGGGGGAGGAAGGGATGGAGGGACAGTGGAAGGGAGGGGGGCAGGAGGAGGAGGAGGAGGAGGAGGAGGAGGAGGAAGACAAGAAAGAACAAAAACAAGACAAAAGGGTTGGACACGTCGTTGTTATAAAAAATAAAATAATAAAAAAAACAGAGATTGATACAGAGAACAGCCCACAGGCGGACAACAGTGTTGTCAGTCGCCGTGGAAACAACAGCCGAAAAACAAGCACAGTGTCATGACAACCACATACCCCCCCACCCCGTCCCATCACCTCGCCCCATCCACAGGACGTCTGAGACAAACCACAATCACCATCGGGCCATTTGATTGGCTTTTAACGCCTTTCCTCCCTCCTCGTCCTCCTCCTTCCTCGTCTCTGATTCGTCTCCTACACACCGGCCGGATTAGTCATACCGAAGTTCAACCGCTTAGATTTGAATTAATCGGGGCCTGTGTTGTGCGTGTGATTGGTTGCCCTCTTTTGTCAAACAGGAAAGAGATGTAGCGGCGGCGGCGAGCTAGAACGAAATATCTGCAGTCGGGAATCAGATGAAGAATCGTATTAATTCAATCCACAGAGAGACGAGGAGGAGAGAGGAGGTGTGGTCGACCTCATCCGTGACTGACGCTGATTTTAGCCAATCAAGACGGGACTCAGCCGGGGGGTTTTATTTTGGGGGGAGGCTGTTATTGGCTGGCTGTTTGTGGGGGAGGGGGGGGTGATGGAAGGTTGTGTTTGTCTGGCTGGTTAGGGAGTGATTAGAGGAGATAATGTGAGAAGTGCTTCAACAACCCCCTGGACTAATAATATGCTAACAAACTCACCAAGCCATGTTAGCGCAGCCAGGCCTGAACTGATTACACTCACACACACACACACACACACACACACACACACACACACACACACACACACACACACGTCCAGGTACGGCTGGCTGACTCGTGGTTTGGCAATAGGGGGAGAAAAAAAAAAAAATCCGATAGACTCTCCCTGGGTGTGAGGGTGTGAGGGAAAGGGCAGAGAGTAAAAAGAGAGAGGAGGAAAGATAATGCAACACAGAGAGAGAGGACGGACAGATGTGTGGAGGAAATAGATGCGATCGTTGCCCTCTTCTACCTCCATCAGAAGCCGGCTGCCGCTGTGATAGAACGAGGCTGAGAGTGACGGATGGTCAGTTACATCCGCTACGCAGATTTCATACAGCGGCCTGTTCTCTGAGAACAGAGAGGCTTGTCCTTGTAGAGGCCATGCATCGCTGCAGGAATGATAATAATAATAACAATAATCATGTCTTTTGAACGCTTTTGGAGCAAAAATATTTCCGATAACCTCACTGTGAACAGGACTAATAGATATCTACTGTATTCAACCATTTTACCTCCATTTACAATGTTTATTTCACTGCCAGCTGGACGTACATAATTCACTCAGATTTCATATAGCTGAGTTAACATGAGAGGTAAGAATGTAATGAAAAGAGACTGAAGGTTAACATATTCTGCGGCACTGACCTAGTAAACATTGACACGCGTCCTTGACAGTGCAGCACGAGATGCTTTCTACTGTAGACAGGACATTCAGAAAAGGGGGTCATTGCTTCAACTGATTCAGTGTCTATTTTAGACGGGCCACATGCTGTCATTTAACCGCTTAGTTTCCAGCAGGGTGCCGGTGGTGGCTTCCATTTGGGTTAGCCCTCCAGACTGGTCCTCATAGGTCCTGAATGTTTACGAAACTGGTCAGCAACTGACTGTCATCTAATGCAAACTCCTCCGTTTGTCTCCAATCGGCAGATCAGATAGAATAGTTTTTTTTTAACCCCAATCTAAAATAACATTTCTATCTTTAGCCGGTTTCTGCAGCTTGAAGCTTCTAAATAAAGAATTCCTCCGCGCCCGAACATTGATTCAATGATGTCAGAGCTCTTAACTGGCTGGTTCGTGCATGTCTCGTTTTGTCGTTTCGTGGCTTGAGCGCTAAAAATACCTCACGGGCCGCATTCTGTCGTCAGCGGAGAACCGAACAGCCCTTTAATGAAAGTAGGGTAGCTCCCAAGGCCCAGCCATCCACTGGTGGTGTGATCCATATTTTATTAATAGTGGGACGGCGGAGCTCTCTTCTGATTGATACCGGGAGCTCAGCTAGGTGGGACTGAGGGCCTCTGGGATTTGCAGGCGCATCGGAATCCTCAAAGACCCATTTATTTCCAACCGGGTTAAGTCTCTCTGTTTACTACCCAGAACCGAGCTGAACTACCAGCGTTTCCTCTCCGACGCACGTCAGCCGCTAAGTGGTTTGTATCAGTTCTGCAGAAAACGCAGATCCGGCCATCGCGTCTGAAATATTCATGAGGACAAAAGAGAGGAGCTGAAGAAGGGATGGAAGAAGGAAACGGGGATGGGAATGGAAGGAGGCCGATGTGGGATGTCTGTGAACAAAAAAGAGGACAAATTGATGCAAGAGCGGATTCTAGGACAGCGAGGGTGAATAGATAGAGACGGGGAGGAGGGGGGGGGGGGGTGTTGCTGAGTGAAGAAGCAAAGGAACATGGGAGTTTGAGCGGTTTAGTTTCAGCAAAGATTGGTTCTAGATAGAGACAACCTTGAGGAGAAAAAGAAAGAAGACACATTGAGTAAAATAAGTCAACGATAAAACATCCACAATGTCCGACAACCACAGAAACATAAAAATATATATACGTGACCGACAGATTCACACGGAACCTCCGTGACATTGACAGTGACAGCTCGAGTGACAGGAGGAGGAACGGGAGGAGGACAGAGAGTTTGAAAAGCCCCTCCACATCCTCAGCACACATTGAAACCACAAAGGGGGAGAAAGGGAGGGGGGGGGGAGGTAGGGAGTAGTGGGCAGAGAGTAGAAATGATTGGGGTGTGTTAGTGGGGCGGAATGGTTGATGATGGGAGGGGTCCCTGTGCGACTACAAGAGCTATTTATAGAGCGACAATAGCTTTGGATTGATGGATGAGCTGGAAGTACTTGTGAGAACTGGTCACATGTCGACCTGATGATCCACTGAAACGACGACTTCTGGTTATTTTAAACTCAGTAATCTAGTTTGTTGGAGAACTCAGAAGTGGACGAATTCAATGGGTTTGACAGCTTGTAAATGGCCCGTTTCTGGATTTTAAACCAGCCCTGGAGCACTTTGTTTACGAGTACATTATGTCGCCCTCAACGTGCGCCAATTACATGAAGCGAACATGGCATGAATTCAACGCTTGGACTGTTTCGTCCTCCGCCGGATGAGGAGGCAGCTCTTCAGCTCTTCTCCAAAAATCGAGTGAAGCAACTCAAACTCGACATCGAATTTACTCTCGTGGTGACGGATTATTACTCACTTCTTCTCCAGTGGAGGAAAGGAAAAGAGCTGCTGCCACACTGATGCGTTTCATTTGTAATCATCATTTGGCGTCTTTTGTTAAATTAAGAAAAGGGTTCCTCAAAAAAGTACTTCATATATTATGTATATGTACTTACTTTACTGGCATCCTATGTGGCCTAAAGAATATCAGGAAAAACACTGATCGAACAATGAATCCTTCATGTTTGTTTCGTCTTTTTCAGACCAATTGAGGAAAGAAAAACGACTGCTTTAACTTCACTGAAATCTAAATCCTGCTCTGTAAAAATATGACAAGCCCAAAGCATACTGTAAATGCAACAAGCAGCAACTTGAACTGCCGGTGTAGAACTGCCCTCCGCCTCAGTGTGGAAGTATCAAAGAGCTTAGGGCCGGCTTACGGTGAGGCTGAACTGGAACGGCAGGGCAGGTGAAGGATATGAATGGAGGTTAGGAGGTCGGAGGAGGAAAGGGGGGGGGGGGGGGGGGGGG